AACTATCGTCGGTGATATACGTGCCATAATTTTAACTCGATTCGTAGAAAATATGTGTAACTATTGTATCTCCAAATAAATTTATTAAAAAACTGGATTCAAATATCTTTCCAATGATACTAATTATACTATAAATATTAATATATATTTTGTCAAAGTTATTTCTCGATAAATAAAAACAACAAATATTTAGAGACAGAGGGAGTAATAGAGTAAGGCCTGGTTTAGTTCTCAAAAAATTTCACTCCAAACTATCACATCGAATCTTACGGCACATGCATGGAGTATTAAATATAGACGAAAAAAAACTAATTGAACAGTTTGGTTGAAAATCGCGAGACGAATGTTTTAAGACTAATTAGTCCATGATTAGCCATAAGTGCTATAGATTAATTAGGCTTAATAAATTCGTCTCGCAGTTTTCAGACGAGCTATGTAATTAGTTTTTTTATTGGTATTCGAAAACCCATTCCGACATCCCGAAACATCCGATGTGACATCCAAAAATTTTCATTTCACGAACTAAACACACCCTAACACTAGAACATCAAGAAAGATGTCATGCTACTTGGTATGGACATAGATTAGAGCTTGTTTGGTTTGAGTTCCCCTTTTAGTCACTTTTTTCTAAACAAGTAAAAAGTGACTAAATGAGTTTAGTCATACGGTCCCAAAGGGGTGACTAGAAGGGACTAAAATCCTATTTTGACAGAGGCTGCCCCTCATTATTGCCCTCTACCCACCCGCCGAAAAAGATTCTGGACAATTAATTAGGGCATTTTGGTCTTTCTTTCATCAGTTTTACTCCATGTTAGTCACCTAAACCAAACATAGACTAAAGTCTAGACCCTGGACTAAAGTTTAGTCCAGGGACTAAATGAAACCCAACAGGGCCTTAATCAAAGCAGTTCTTCTGTTCCTTAAGCTGACGTATATCTAGGCAAGTTGAACATGGAACAACAAAAGGAGGTTCATCTTCTTCCTCGTAGAGACAACTGATCAAATCCAGAATAGATTTCCCATTCCTAAGAAAATCAAAACTATCATCAACAACAGTAACCAAATATAAAAAGAAAGATATTGTTTAATTTAATTGGAATCAATAAGGAACGAAACTACAAAGTTCCACTTACCTTCTCGTCTCACGGACCATTGTATAGTGTAACACAATAAAAAACTGTGTCCTCAGACCCAACAATGGATGGTAGGGGCTTTATGGTCTTCATCAAAGGTACTACTAGTGAGTAGGGGCCATCTGCAGTCAAATATTTCCTACATCCTAAATTATAAGTTATTATAAAAATTTTGAAGAGTCAAAGCATCTTAAGTTTAACCAAAATCATAAAAAAAAATATTACAAAGATTTATGACATTAAATAGATATACTATGAAAATATAATTAATAAAGAACCTAATGATATTCAGTTGGTATCATAAATGTTATTATCTTATCGTATAAATTTAGTTAAACTTAAGATGTTTTGAGTCTCTAAAATTTCTGAAATGATTTATAATTTAGGAGGTAGGAGCAGCATACTTGTGCCATGTTTTATCTGCAGAAGTTTGGACAAGCCTGTACTAGTAGTATTATTTTTTGGACAGGAGGCAAGACCGTATAGATCTGCATATCCCGGCTACATGGCTGATATTCAATTAATTGATGTGACAGGGGCTGCAGCCGTGCTTCACTAGTGTAACCCACAACCAAGACAAAAAAAAAAGCAAAAGTAGAATGCAATTACGAGAACTGTGCAGTCAAACTGGTTCGAGTTTGATAAAATTTATGGTAAATAGTATTAGCATTTATATCTTTAAATATAAAAATATATTTTATAACTAATCTAATAGTATTTATTGTCTCATGGATTTTAGTATTTTTTTATATAATTTTAATCAAAATTTAAACTCTTTGACTCCTCAAAATGTGATAATTACGTTCTTTTATGGATGGAGGGAATACTACCTCTCCAAAAAATGAATAACTTGGGTGCATTATCGGTTAAAAAGATCTAAAATTTGACCAAATATATAGATAAAAAAATTAATATTTAAACACTAAATAAATATATCATGAAAATATATGTCATGACAAATCTAATGATACTTATTCGATGTCATTACTATTTTTATTTTTTATATATAATTGACTAAACTTAAGATACTAAAACATGATACTATGCTAGAATTACGTTCTTTCTTGACGGAGAGAGAGTATAATGTTAGAAAAAATAGCTACAAAATAAATCTGATTCAATAAGAATTAGATTCTTTTTTAAAAAAAAATCAAATGCCGTAGTCCACAAAACAATTCATATAACAGTACAATGTGTGAATAACGATGCTTACCATAGTATTATTTAGATATGCCGGGGTACATAATAAAAATTGTGGTTCTACAGAGGACAAAACGACCTATAAACTAGAACACGGAGATTAGATTGCAACAAACACACGCGTGCCAAGGACAATGTTTAATGTTTTGCATGGCCCCACCCGTTCGCTTCGCTGAAAAATCAAACCGAAACACTGTTCCAGCTGATTTGTTGTGAGAGAAAAACATTGTTTCGGCTGAAAAAATAAGCTGAAAAGTACGGATTATAAGAGAAAGCGAACAGGGCTTCGCAAACAATTGCACTTTTTGATGAAACAATTACATTTATATTTGATAAAGCAGTCTTCAAATCTTGTAACACCTGTCATCCCCACTCGCTACAAATGATAAGATTCATAGTGCAAAAAATGGAATCAAACCGTATACCTGTATAATAACTACATAACTGCTATGTTTCTAAACGGGAAGAGCTCAGCTTCTGCGGCAAACACACAGTCTTTTCCACTTTTGACAGTAACCAAAAATTTAACCACAGGGCATAGTAGTCTCTCATCTTATTGCAAGTTTATTTCCCCGTACTGTCCTTTTCTTCTGAACTTCCCTTGAGACTTGCAGACCTCACCAGCAACACGTGCTTGATGCGCCGCTCTTTGCCACCTGTTTTAGCAGATGATGACCTCAAGATTCAGGCCTTGCCAAAGAAGAGAAACCAAAGGGACAGAACAGGCATTGTCTTCATGTGGCCTTGGACATGCAAGGATACCTCCCTATGCAGATGAATTGGCTCAGACTGACGCCAATGGTGTTGAAGCATGATTGTCTGAGAAAGAACTGCAGAATCATGGAAACGATATGGTAAGGATGCCATCAAAGGCAAAATTCTGATCCATCGAATGTTGATACTAATTGAAGTTGTATATATAGTCAACTAGAAACTATTGCTAGCAGGTCCAGCAGTAAAATGGAGTAATTTCAATCACAATAACAATTGAAATCATTGAGCTAGTGTTAAAGTTTATTGGATAGCTTATAAACTATGTCCGTATTGAAAATTCTCAAACAGATAAATGCAGCCTAATCGCCATCTTATCTCTTACCCAAAATTAGCAAACAAATCACTAGATAAAATTATCACAGGATGAGAGTAAAGTATCTGTTAGATGACTCTACCAAACAACAGTGCCAATAGAAGCTGTGGACTTAAAAGTTTGGTCACAAAAGAACTTTATAACAGTATGGCAACGATACTTTGAAGCTATAAACATGGATGATCTAATTTAGGCACAAATCTGATCTTTCAACAGCATAGTGATTCAGGCAAACGTGATATAAGCAGTTGTTGTTGGATTGTGGCCATTATTTAAAAATTCAAACTTGGCAACTAGCAATGAGTTGTAACCACAAAAGTTCAAGCCTTTTTATCCAGTATGTACCAGGTGCAAAGTAACCCGGTACACATAAACTTTTATTGCAAAATACAGTGATGTGCCACGATGATGGAACAAGTGCAAGATCAAATAATCAAACCTCAATAGGGAGCAGCACTCCCTTAAAAATGCCAAAATTATACTGTGATTCAGCTGGGATCGTTTCAGATTAACACATGGGCATCTCAAACTACAGTAGTAGCTGTAGGATCTTTATCTACATGTGTAGACTCCCTAGAGCCAATGAAGTTACCTTCCCTAGTTGATTATTGAATTGGATCATACTAAAATTTCACAAATTGTAGAGGCAACCAAAACAAAACACTAGCCAAAATGGACTGCACACTGCAACCACTTGAACACCAATCTTCCTATATTTTACAATTCAGAATACACATGGACTTTTTTTTGCTCCATCAGAAATTCAAGATACTGATTACTTGTCACACAATCAATTGGGAAGCAGCTAAAACTTAACCGAAGCACACTAAACTCAACAAATTCCCAAAAGTTGATGCTTACAAATACAAACAAGGCAAGAAAACTGGACATGCTGATATACATCACACCTGAGAGGACATTTATGTATGTTGAGCAACCAGTGCATAAATATGGACCCAGTCTTTGACAATTTGTCAGGAAAAAGGCATCAAGTAGCTACTGGTTGGAGCCTATCACTTATTAGTCATGTCCAGCGCCTATATTTTTTGTTTGCACATACTCAAAGATAATACACACAAGCTGTGAAGGAAAGCTGTGACGGATTAAAAGGTAATCTGGTTGTTTGTTTGCATAAGGATCTAGTAAAAGTTTTTCATACCTGAACCTAATTATGAAGGTTGTGCAGTGGCGCAGCTAAACCATTTAGAGACCCTGCAAAAGAAATATATGTTCTTTCTACCATAAAATTCACCGGAACAAAACAGACATCGTAAGATGAATTATATCTTCACTGCAAACTCACATTTATAACCATGTTAATCTCATATTCATTACCTTAGAACCTCTCTACAAAATAAGTGTAATGTCTTTCAGCTAGTAATTAATAGAATAGTATAGACTAGTACAGAAAAGTAACTAGTACAAATTAGTACATAAATAGATTGTCAAATAATCCCAGTAGATCTAAGCTGTGTAGATTAGTATGCAACACACGGTTGAACGCTTTGAGCACATCCTAGTTTCCTACGGCAGTTAAAATATCGATACCTTTTTGTAGTGGAATAATGGAATAGTGATATCTAATCTAACTGAGCAAAAAAGACATAAGCATCTTTTTCCATTATGGTCTGAGAATAGCAAGATGCTATCACTGCAACTAGGAATCCATTGTGTCGATCAGCACCAGCTAGCTGAGCAGAGGTAGAAGATACTATTGTAGGAAACAAAAAGCCAAAATAATAAGCATAGAATGGTAACCACTCATTAGCAGTCCGAGGAACATGAGTATAAGAGATTGCTAATTAGAAGGCCAACGGTTTCATGAACAAATTTCTTAGATCCCTAAATGCAATCAACTAAGGCTACCAATTTCTACATTAGCGGTGTTTCTTAGACTTAGTAATCAAGTATTTACATTGAGTCCCTTTAGCACAACAGATAAGTAGTTATCAGTATTGTTGAAAACAGAAAAAAAAAACATTAAAAATTGTGACAAATAGTGGCCTCAGAACTAGTCCTCTACGTTCATATGATCTTGTTCTTGGAGCGTAAGGGCCATAGACAGAAATTGCAATAGCATGAAAAGGAATCAAGGTGAAATAGATCAACATAAGAAAACATATGGGCCTGTTTTGTAGTAAGAAGAACAGCATTAGAAAACTGGAAGTACCCAGTCCCTCACAAGAACAATATCACTTTTTCATCACTAAATTGGGAATTTTTCATCACTGGGCACTTACTTGCCTGATGGAGAAACAAAATTTTCAAACAAAAAGATCAAATAAATCCAAATGCCGTAATCAGCAAAGAAATAACTGTCATGTGGCGTAGGAAGGTGGTGCCGGTGGCGGCGCAACCCAGGGGATACAGGAGATGGATCTAAGGGGATACGAGAGAGATAGGGAGGCGACAGTGAACAGGCTGAATGAGCCGAGCAGCCATCCCCAGTCGAGCCAGAGGAAACCTGAGTACAGTAAAAGAGTATGGCCCCGTGCTGACAATCTGGTAAAAAAAAAAGATACAAAAAAAATCTAACAGCAGGTAAGAATAATATAATCAAAATGAATTAAATATCTTGCTAAAGTGAGAACTTTCAGATGCGAACAAGAAGCCAGATTTGTGACGACACAACATGGATTTTACCTGCAGCTAGGACTCAAAGAATTTAAAACAAACAAGATAGACATTGACAATCCAAATGCATCTGCAACTGCATCTAAGAGCGACTCGAATAACAAAAAAAATAGCAGAAAAAATTTGGGAGATGATACGAACTAGAAGCTTAAAAAACACAAACGCATAAAAAACTGTACCTACGAGCAACTAAAAGAAAAAAAAGAAGCAAATCGACGGAGGATGGGACGGAATGGGATGTACTTGATTGAAATTGGGAATAAGCATCCTGTTCAGTAGGTCGTAGGTCGTATTTGGCTTATAAGCTATGGCTTATCAGTCAACGAATAGTATTTTTCTCTCACATTAAACCAACCAACGGTACTTTCAGTCATGATTTATAAGTCAAACAAACCTAAACGAATAGGATGAAGATCAGAGAGTACCTAATGAAAGACGACAGCGAAGTTGGGGGCAAGACTTAGGGAGTGTTTGATTTCTCATCCTAAATTTTAGTCGTTGTCCTATCGGATGTGTGACACATATATGAAGTATTAAATATAGATTAATTACGAAACTAATAGTACAGTTTGCAGCTAATTTGCAAGACGAATCCTTTAAACCTAATTAGTCCATGATTTGACAATACGTGCTACAGTAAATATGTGCTAACGACGGATTAGTTAGTCTTAATAAATTCGTCTCATGGAGTACTATTCACGGATGATTTCTCTCATAAATTACTCCAGATTCATCTAGATTACTCTAAATTTCTCCGAGGAAATGAGGCTTTATTAGGATCCGAACACCCATACGACCCTCGTATAACACCTCCTAGATTTTAAGATTTTAATCGCTACATCAAACACCCCCTTAATCTTGCGTAGTGCTAGAAATCAAACTAATCGAATTGAACAGAGGAGAGAGAGGACCGATTTTAAGCTTGCGTAGTCCTGCAAATCGATCAAATCAGATCGAATCTTGCGTATAGAGAGAAGCTATGGAGAGGAAGGTAGAGAGAGAATCGAATCGTAGGAAGGCGAAGGAAGAGGCAGCAGTGGAGTAGCGCTGGAATGGATCTGTTGGGGGGAAGCTTAGAGAGAGCAAGAGAGTCAAGGTAGAGAATGGAGAGGACTGAGAAGAGAGAGAAGGGAGCGGAGAGAAAAGAAAAACGATGCTCGCAGCGACGAGTCCTTATCACGAGAAAAGAAATTTCAGTGCTCACGGACGCGAGAACGACGTTTGACCTGCAGGAATCTTGACGAGAGTGGAACTGTCGGATAACCTGAGTTGGAGCACACCGTTGTACGAGGGGACGAACGGCGTAGGCGACGAGGGTCCATGGGGACGAACGGCGTAGGCGACGAGGTCCCGATGCCGCCGTGCGAGGGGGAGTCGCCGTACGCGGGCGTCGGAGAGCTCCCGTAGGCGCCACCATGGGCAGGCGACGGGGACCCACCTCCGTAGGCACCACCGCTGGGGGTGGACGGAGCGGAGACCCACCGTACGCGCCGCCGCCGGGAGTGGACGGAGACCCACCGTAGCCGCCGCCGGTGGAGGGCGACGTCGGAGAGGAGCCGGAGCCGCCGTGGGACGGGGAAGGCAGCGTCCCGCCGTGCGACGGCGTCGGCACGTACCCGCCGCCGCCGTGGGACGGCGTCGTCCCGGGGGAGCCGGAGCCTCCGTGCGACGGCGTCACGGGCGTGATGCCGTGGCCGCCGCCGGTACCCGGGAACGAGCGCGGGTCCATCCCCGGCACGCAGTCCGGCTTCTTAACGTCCTCGCCTGCGGCGGTGCAACGGTACCACACACAAAGATTAATATGCAATGCAAGTTCAACATTGTTAGACACAGCATCTGATTGAACACGGCTCAAGAAAGAAGATGTGATGTACCTGGCTCGGCTTCTCCACGGGACTCGACCACGGCCACGAACGCCTGCGCGGCCAACGCGGCGAGCACGAAGCTCGCCAGGAGAGATCTCACTGTCCTCCGCGACTCCATGGCAGCTCCTGCTGCTAGCTGCTGCTGGATCCTGCTAACTCCTCCCTCTGTTGCTGAGTGAAGTGCTGCACTGTGACTGTGGAGTGGTGGTGTGCTTGGAGCGACATGAGCAGGCATCGTGGGTATAGATGGTCCGTCCGAGTGTCCGAGTAGGGCAGGCGTGCGGACTGCTGCATCGGAGCAGGCTCATGCATGCATGCGCTGTTCAAGCGGCTTTATTATTGGATGGGTAGTACACTGCCTCCGACTGTCAATTCCCCCTCTTCGTTTGCGTCAATTCGGCTGATAAGCCATGGCTGAGTGAGCTGGCGTGAGAGAAAAATATTATTTATTAGTTGAAAAAGTATGGTTTATAAGTTAAATAAACCCAAATGAATAGGGTCTCGTTACTTTTTTTTAGTCGAATCGCTCTTCTGTTGCACTGCTTTTCGACGAACGAAACGTGTTTTTCTCTTATAATATTTTAACTTAAGCATCAACATAAGTCAAAAATTCATCGAAACGAATAGGGCCAAGGGTACTCGCTTAAAATGCAAAATATTCAAATAACTTTAACAAGTCTGACAAAAAAAAGCTAACTTTTGTTATGCCACCTCGCCAATTAGTTAGTTGGATCTTTTAAATTTTTTAATTTCTTATTAGTAAGGCCTTGTTTAGTTTCTTCCCTAAAATTTACTCTTTATCACATTGGATGTTTGACATATGCATGTAGTATTAAATATAGACTAAAAAATAACTAATTGTACAGATTACGACTAATTTGCGAGACGAATTTTTTAAGCCTAATTAGTCCATGATTTGACAATGTGGTGCTACAATAAACATGTGCAAATGACGGATTAATTAGGTTTAATAAATTCGTCTCGCGGATTACTGAGGACTTCTGTAATTTATTTTATTATTACTATCCGAACACTCCTATGTAACACCACAATGTAACACCCGATATCACGTCCCTAAACTTTACTCATGGATTTAAACACCACCTAACTCATAGTTTGAAAAGGTATGCAGACATATCATTAACTATGACTAGCAAATACATGAATCAATTTAGACAAAACAGTGTTTAAAAGTCATGCATGAATGTGGTTTAAAAATTAAAATGTAGAATCGTATAGATGGCTTAAAATTCAAAATATCTTATAATTTAGAATGTATTTTAAAACTTCGATATAGGAGTACCTTGTATTTTAAGATAGAGGGAGTATCAAGCCCTGTATTTCAAGATAGAGGGAGTATCAAGCCCTGTATTTCAAGATAGAGGGAGTATCAAGTCATACAATCTTGAGCAGCTAAGGGCTGATCAACACATCAAGGAAAACAAGACCACAATTACCCTTCACTTCTAAACTTTTCTAAGAGCATATCCAAGAGTTCTCCTAAACTTAATTTCCTTAATTAGATCCTCACATACTCATATTCTAACAAAAAAATCCTCTCAAAATATTTACCTTCTCCAACAAATATCCTATCTCAAATAATATATTATATATAAGGTGGAAACATGACATCTCCAGTTTGAGAGGAAGAGAGGATAACTTAGAATACCACTTAATATAGGATGTTGAATATGGAGGTGGTGATTTTTGTTACATAAACCTTAATTTTAGCTCTATGGGGCTGAAACTGAATCAAGGAACTCTTGGAGACTCTAAATTGCATTAGAGCAAAATTGAAGCACTTGCAAGGCCTGTTGCGCCCATGTCACCACGCGCCCGCGCGCCCTACTCCCAAACTGCGACGTACGCAGCCCCCTCCGCCCAGCGCCCATCCCACTCCGGAGGCAGCATCCGTCCGTACGGAGCTACCTCTCTTGCGCCCGACGCACGCAGCTCCCTCGCCCCATGCCCCACACCCATTTCCCTCATTCGTATGGATGCCCTGCCGTCTCTGGGAGAGACGTTGCAGCAGAAGGTGGGAGAAGGCGAGATGCAACACCATATGTACTTTTGAAACATCCAAATACAATGGTTGCAACATACGTCTGAAGGCAGTTGAAACACTTGAAACATACTTATGAAGCACTTGAAAAACACACCTGAAACACACTTGAAAACCATTGCAACCCATACGTAACATCCGAATAAAACACATGCAACACATGTGTGAAACATATGCAACATCCAGATAAACACAATTGTAACATGAGTCTGGAAAACATAGATGAAACATACCTCTGAAACATATGAAACACTTGAAATATACTATTGCAACATGTCTATGAAAACAATTGCAACATATGCAACATGTGCAACATCCCCAATCAACTTTTACAACATCCATATGATTCAACTGCATCGTACCTCTAAAATGCTTGAAACATACAATTGCAACATAGGGGGTAGAGAGAGCCTGACGCGAGGAGCGCCATGACCGCTGGATCTGCGGGCATTGGGGGCTCCTGGTGCCGGAGCCGTGCTAGGGTCGTGCCCGTTCCCGCACCGGAGTTGAGGCCGGGGGTGACCGGCCGGAGAAGAGGAAGGGGGTCGCCAGGGGTGGTCGCCTGGATCAGAGCTCATGCTCGCGCCGGGGGCACCGCCGCGCGCGGAGCAGTAGGAAGGAGAGAGAGGCAGCGGGGGGCGCGGCTCGTGCGACACGCGTGGGGGCAGGGGCGGAGCGCGGCTCGGCAGAGGAGCGTTGCTGCGTGGGTGTGGAGATGCCGCGATGGGGGAAGGGGCGCGAGAAAAATGAGCGGGTGCGAAAATGAGCGGACAGAGGCGTCCTTCCAGACCATCTGTTATGTATCATTATCGGCGATAGAACGCACAAACCACAAACCGTTGTGCAAGAATCAATCAAACTACAGAGTTTTGGATTGCTGCAAAAGTGCAAAAGGTCCGGTCCAGCTCTTGAAATTAAGTGAATTTACAGATCGAGTTAGATGGATCCATGGCCGGCCATGGATGCTAGTCGGCGGGCGTCTCCTGTGCTGTGTTCCTACGTGTCGAGCTCGAGAAGGTCGGGCGACGGCGAGCCAGACTTCTTGTTCGGCTTCCTCCGGAACGGGCGGCACGCCTTGACGCTGAGGTCGACGGCCGCGGCGAGCGCGACGAACATGGCGGCGTCCTCGATGCACGTGACGTGGCGCATGGCGAGTTGCACGAACGGCCTGCTGCTCCTCGCCTCCCCTTCCACCCTGCAGCTCATGACGAACCCTCCGCCGGCGCACGCGGCGCCCAGGCTCGCCGCGCAGTGCTCCGCGGCCGTGGCGGAGGGCGCCTGCCTGTCCATGTCGATGAAGAACTCCCCGCCCTTGTCGCTGCTCAGGGGCGCCTCCGACACGAGCACGCAGTCGTCGTGGCGGTCCGGCAGCAGGTGCAGCCGCAGGCGCACCGTGTCCTTGCCGCTGCTCGCCGCCGCCGCCGCAGCGTCGCGCCACGCCTCCAGCCGGCCCCACGGCTGCCAGCTGTCCGAGGACCCCGTGGTGTCGGCGCGCACGATGAGCCAGGCGCCCGGGTTGGACCGCGCCACCGTGTCCCCGCCCGGCGCCGGCACGAACGGGGTGGCCATGAACGCCGCGGCGACAGCCGAGCCGGACAGGTCGTGGATCGCCACCTTCCAGCCCTTCCTCTCCCGCCTCACCATCTCCATGTCCTTCTCCTCGCTGCTGGAGCTCGACCAGTACTGCCCGCCGCCCAACGAGTCACTCTGAGACGGCCTGCATGCATGCAGACGAAAGCATTCAGATGAACTTGATGCATGCATGTAATGTAACTGATCGCGAACGATCGAGACACTTCTTACCGCCTGTCGCGGATGAACTTGCAGCTGAACACGGGCTGCCGGATGCTGCCATGGAGCTGGACCACCTGCGGGTTGAGCGCGATGTCGTCGTCAAACTGGAAGATGTAGCGGGGGTCGGCCTCCAGCTTCACCCTGAGGTGGAGCTCCGGCCTGGGCTCCCCCTTGCCGATGCCCGTCCACCCATGGTGCAGCAGCACGGGCTTGCCGTCCCGCCACTCCGACGACGCGAGCTCCACCCTGAACACGCCGACCAGCCGCTTCCTCTTGCAGGCGGCGACGACGACGCAGCGAGAAGAAGCGCCGAAGCGGGCCAGGTAGTACACCGCTACCTCGAGGCACGACGTCCGCGGGGCCCGGAAGCACCCCGGCACCGCCAGCGCCCTGAGGTCGGACTCGTCGAGGGAGAAGACCGCAGCGTTGGTGAACGGGTCGAGGTTGAACGCCGGGGAGTGGATCAGCGGCACAGGAGCGGTCTGCACCGGGAATCCGCCCAGCCGAATCTCGCAGTCGCATAGCCGGCCGGCTGCCTTGCTGGCGTTCCCGCCGGGGAGCTTCAGACCGAGCTGCCCGACTGAGAGCCGCACAAATGGCTCGGGATCCATGGCGCGCGCGTGTCACTGCAAACCAGCTCCCTCCATTGCCGTTGCTGCTGCTGAAAATTTGGAACGCCCATAATTGCAGGAAAGCAGAAAGGGTTGAGCAATCACATAATGTGACTATTCAGTTTTCCAGTGATACAAAATCTGTATGACAGCCTAGATACCTTTAGCATGATTGTTAGCTAACGATCTGATAAGTAGGAAGTCTTTTATTCCTTCTCAAAGTCCCTTCTTCAATCTTAGATTGAAAAAAGACTGCCCCTTAGGGACCTTTGGCTACAAAGATTTCTGACATCTTAGGCTCCGTTCGGTTACAGCGGTATGGTGCGAGGAACTGTTCCGGCGGTGGAAAGCTTATGTAAAATGAGTAACGAATCTGGTCGGGAATTGATCCTGGGGTCATTCCCCGGTAACCGAACGGGGCCTTAGTCTCTGGTTTTAAGTTCCCGAATCGAATCAATTAAAGTCTGGAACTCTGGTTCTTCGGTTACGTGCGCGCCTTAGAAAAAAGCATACTCAAATAAAAGTTCTATACGTTCCCATTTGAATTTAGTATAACTTTATGGAACATACTCAAATAAAAGTTCTATACGTTTGTTTTTTGGAAAAGAAAAGAAAATCTATACGCAGATCACTCTTGGTTCTCTGCAAAGAAGCAAAGTATGGGTGGATTGGAGCAAAGCAAAGTATCTGATTCACAGATTTACAATCCAACTCTGGCTAGTCCAACAAGGTTTAGCTAGAATCTTCGAAAAAAAAGTATCTAAGATCAGGGCAAAGCAACCTATTTTTCCGAGGCTCGAGGTATCTAGTAGTACTAGATACTGATTTTAGTCTAACCTTCGTGAACCTTCACAAGATTTTATACCACAAAGACTCTGTTCGCTTGTCTTAATATCCGTACTTTTCGGCTTATCTTTTCAGTCGAAACAGTGTTTTTGTCTCACAACAAATCAGTCGGAACAATATTTAACTTATTTTTTCAGCGAAACGAACGGGGCCAAAGACGAAAGCTAATCCCGGTATATTCCCACTTTGACAGTCACTGTTTCAAAAGCACTACAAAAGGCACTGTTAACACCACCAAGAGCAAGACCAAGTTGATTAAACAAACAGAGCAACAGAAAGCAAAAGGCATCGGGTGCTTTTGCAATGATGGCAGCAGTGGAAATGTCATTAGCATTCCAGTTCTGTCGCGGCACAATGCGAAGCAGCATCAATGGAGGGATACCATAGAGAGAGAGAGAGAGAGAGAGGGGGGAAGAGAGGAAGAGCCATAAACAAAATTATATCCAAACTCTATTACCAATTCGAATCGTTCCTCCGAACGCTACTTCCCTGTCCTTCTTCCCCTTCCCCCAAGTTTCTATCCTCACACGATGCTTCCTGCGTCGTACAAATGAGCGTGGCGGAGGGGAGATACCAAACCTTTGCCCGCTACGACGCAAACGAACCCCTCCTGCACCGGGCAACGGCCACGTCGCCGCCACTCGCCGAGCGCCCACGTAAGGCGGCCGCCACGCCGCACGGCACCACGTCGAGCGCAAGCTAGCTATATTACCCCCGCGCCCCGCCCAGAGCTCGCCTCCCTCCTTGACGCTGGCATGCTGCTGGCCATCGCTGGCGTCGCTGTAGCCTCCCATGTCGTCGTCGTCCACCCGAGGAGGCGAGACCCCTGGCGGCGGCGGCGGCCATGCCCATGGCCCGCCCGTCCATGAGCTGGAGACCCACCTCGACGCTCGCCAGACGGAGGAATCGCGAACGCGGAGGGGGCGCGCCCACCGCGAGCAGCCTCGGCGGCCGTACAACTTCAGGAGGAGGCACCGGTCGGGCGCGCTGGAGTGGGCGGCGGCGGTGCTGTTCACGGTGCTGGCGGTGGTGGTGCTGGTGGGCGCCGTGTCCATTCTGGTGGTGGTGCTACTGCTGCAGCCCCGCGCGCCGTACGTGGCGGTGCGGGCGGCAAGCCTGGACAGGCTGGTGTACGACCAGCTCGGGGCGCTTGACGACGTGCAGATTTCGCTCCGCGTGGAGGCCCGCAACGACAACGCACACTCCGCGGCAACCTTCTCCCGCCTCGAGTGTCGGCTCGCGTTCGCCGGCGCGACGCTCGCGGTGCTGCGCGCCGACACGTTCCGTGTGCCTGCAAGGGGCGCCCTCCCGTTGGCGTACGTGGCGCGCGCGCAAGGCGCCCCGCTCGGTAACGTCGGGAGCGCCGCCATGGAGGCCGCGCTCCGCGACGGCGTCGTGCCGTTCGGGGTGGAGGGGGAGGCCAGGACACGCTGGAAGGTCGCCGGGCTCGTCGCCATCAACCAGTGGACGCGGCTCGCGTGCCAAATCCGCTTCTTCTGGCCCAACGGCACCGCGCTCGCCTTCAAATGCAGCTCCAAGTCTAAGTTTTTATTCTTCTGACCGGACCCCATGCCCTCTATATTATCTAGTAGCTAGTCCTTTGGACTCAAATCAATGGCGGGGCGTGGTTGATCAAGATTCAAGAACAGTTCTTCAGTTCGTTCTCACTTATTAAATCTGCCCTTAGGGCATATGCCCCTACGCACTGTTCCGTAGGGTGGTAGCAGGGTGAAGCAGCAGCGCCTAGAGAAAAGGATACGAGGCTGGCACGGCACCAAGCTGCTGCGAGGTGACGACGTGACGTGGCAAGGGCCAATCCCGCTCCTGCGTGAAGTACACGACAGCGCTAGCTTCATGTACAGGCCACGAGGAACGTGACAAGGCCGGTGTTAGCGGAGGGTTTCATTTCACTGTTTCAAAGACTGCCAGACAAGATATGTTCATCCCCATATCTCATGTATAGTATAGGTAAGCAAAAGAAAAAGATAAATTCTTTACTGCCAGCTCTTCTATCCTATCCATTTGTAAATTAATTCTAAATAGGAAGAACCAGCGGATCCATGGCTCCGGAATTGAGGTGGCAGATTGGGGGAGAAATGCAATGGAAAGAATCAAACAGAGTTGGTGTGAGTTCGATACAGCTTATATGTTTTTTTCTTCATCCAAAACTTTGTTGATTGGTTGGAAGATTTGTTGGAATCGCAGTCCTTTTGATAATCAAAGGACAAAAGGCAGGAAGGAGATAGAAAGAGACCAGCATCAGCACCACCGTGGAAAGGAGGACCAGAAACAAAGCAAAGCGTGTGTGAGGGAGTCAGACGGGGAAGAAAGAAGGTTCAAATATGTTGCGCTGGCAACAACGCGGTCTCAGTCAGTAGTCTGCATGTGCCCCCTTTCTTCTTCCTCTTTCTATCTCTCTGATTGCTTTGCTTTTTTATTTAGCGCGTGTTTAGTTGGATAAATTTAGGAATTTGATTCGGTAGTACTTTTATTTTTATTTGACAATTAGTGTTTAATCATGGACTAATTAGGCTCAAAACATTCGTCTCGTAAGTTCTAACCAAACTATGCAATTAGTTTTGTTTTTCGTCTACATTTAATGCTCCATGCACGTATCGTAAGATTCGATGTGATGAATACTGTAGCACTTTTTGAAAATTTAAGATTGGAACTAAACACGCGCTTAGAAGAAAATGAAGCAAGCCGCGCCCCCAAGATCCCAAGAATCTCCTAACTCGTTCACTCAACCACTCCCAAGTTACAGTGAAAAAAGTACTAATAACGATCAAAAGAGTATCAGCCTGTTCGCTGGCCGCAAACGATAATGGATTATAAAACAAAACAGTATTTTTTTTTCACACCAAACCAGCCAGCAGTAATAATCCACGATCGTTTCAGCCGAAACGAACAGGCTGTATATGTATGCATAACACAAGGAATTGGTACTGGTATACTCCCTCCATACTTAAAAATGAAGTCGTTTTTGACAGGGACACGGTCTCAAAGCATAACTTTGACTACTTATTTTTATAAAGATATTTATCAAAAAGTGATATATGTAAATTTTTGTAAAAGTATTTTTCAAGACAAACCTATACATATGGTTTTCACATTTTCAAACTCAACAACTTAAAAGTTATTCATGATTTATATTCCCAATATTTGACCTGAGCCTCGTTAAAAACGACTTTATTTTTTAGTACGGAGAAAGTACATACATACATATACATGTATCTATGTCTGAAAGTAGTAGGCATATGTATTGTGCCAAAGTAAAGAGCTCTGTTGAGGAGCAACGGAAACAGAACATCATTGAATTGGACTGAATTTTACCTTTCTTATATATTATATGTTCTCCGGCCGAAAACTGCCCTCTTTGTTGCTAATAGCTGCCTCTCGTCCCGCGCTCAAGAAGACGACGCCCAAGGGAGGCCGAGGTGGACTCGATGGACCGATCGATATGATGCACTCACGCAGCTGCTATAGCTGCTGCCTAGCGAGCAACCTACACGCGGCAGCTCCGAGGCGGCACGACAGCGGCGGCGGCAGAGCCCCAGCCATGGCTCTCCAGAGGCCCTGGAAGCAAGAATTCATGGTGAGCAGGCCAGAAGCCGAACCGACGGAGCTAGGAATCGAGCCGGTCGGCAGGTGGAAGAAGAGGCCAGCCGGCCGCCCGGGCAGAGGAGAAGGAGGAGGAGGAGGAATTGGCCGATCGATGCTGAGGTGTGAGAACGTGACAAGGGAAAGGGGAGCGCGGGGGAGGTGCGGAGCGGAGGAAGACGACGAGTCGACGACGGCGGCGACTCTACTTATACCCCCGGGCAGAGCTGGGCAGGGCTGGCGCGAAAGAAAGGGGATTAGGCGGGCCTACCCGTGCCGTGCCGCGCCGCGCCGCGCCGCGCGGGCAGAGCACGCAACGCAAGCTGTTGTTGATGGATGGATGCTGTGTGTGGAGTGTCGTGTCGCGTGGGATGATCGAGGGATGACGGCAGCGGAATGCATGAGAGCCAGCTGGAGCGCACCGCCGCGCCCCACTTGCGGGGCCTCGCTTTCCGACAGCCTGGCTCGACGGCGACCCACTCCGGCGAGGCGAGAGCAGTCAACCAGTTGTTGGTTTCGCACTGAGTGTGACTGTATGGATGTATAGAGTGAGTACTCCTCTGTACCTACAGCGTATTTCAGATGCTGTGTGACTGTACTGTACGTCCTCGTATACGGAAGACGAAGAAAATAAAAAATACAGTTATTGCTCATCCTGGCTGTATATGGTCAGTCAACAAGGTCCTTAGTCCGGCAAGGAGTGTGCATGCCACCGCAAATCAGGGTGCTTGTCAGGCCTAACATCTTCTTCATCTTCCCCTCCCCTTGGGCCTTGGGCAGTTTGGCGTGTGGCCAAACTAAACTTCTTGTGGTTTTTGACCTCGGCAGACCGCAGACACGCGCCCATAGATCATGCATGGTGGTAACCCACAGTACAATTCCCAAGTATTCGGCGCCCACACGGCCACACCCAGTCACCCACGCACAGGGTGTCAGCTGCGCGCCGCGTATCGGTGATGAAAGCACACCTGTACCCGTCCACGGCGGTTGTCGCTACAGAAATTATCAACACGTAAATATTTATAGTTTTACTGTATGTTGTGATCAAATATGGCCTAGCACTTAATGACACAGGGTTTATACTGGTTCAAGCAACAAGCCCTACGTCCAGTTATCGGTGACTTTATTCCTGAGCCTAAGTGTTTGAAGTTTGCAGTGGGGTTACAAACGAGAAGGAGAAAGATGGAGGTGTAAGAGATCCGATCGGACTCCGGTCTGAAGGGCGAGAGTGACGAGAGCTCCTACGTGCCCTGAGTATTCGAACGTGTGCTCGAGGTTTGGACCTGGTGGTTCTGTTGTTGTGTGTTGAATTGATCGAGTGCCCTTTGTTGGGAGAGAACACATCCTCTTTTATAGATAAAGGGGACGGTCTTTACAAGTGAGAAAGAGTAAGTATGCTACTGAGTCTTATTGCCCATGCCGTCGGGTATAAGATGATGGTAGGCGCCCACAACACTGTTGTTGTTAGACGCATGTGGGAGATTTTACCGTATTCACCGTGTGTGATAAATGACGGCGCCCACAACACTGTTGATGTCCAGAGGCATGTGGAGAGTCTTACCGTGTTTACCTGGTATGAGAATTGATAGCGCCCATAACACTGTATGGCAAAAATATCGGCGCCTACAACACTGCTTGCTTTTGGACATGCCTAGAAGGTTGCAGGGTACCCTTCTGACATGTCCTGTCGGTACTGTCCTGCAAGTATACAAGGTACGGTCCTCGGTATTACAGTTGACTTGAGCGTCCTGCTTTACTTGCTCCACCCATTTCCTGGTCCTCACAAAGCGGGCGTCCCCGGTCGGCTGGGTCCAGTCGGCTCCGACTGCGCCAGTCGGAGAAGAGCCGTAAGTAGAGGTTCGGTTTGTCCCCGGTGGCGTCGAGCGTAGCCGAGGTAGTTTAGGGATCAGGCAAGATGGACTCGTGGATCCTAGCGTCGGGCGCAGCCGAGGGATCGGACGAGTCGGAGTCGCGGATCCTAGGCACAGCAGAGGCGTTTGGGCGTCTTGAGCCCCCGAGCCCCGTTGGGTTTAGTAGGGGTCCGGTTGAGTTTCGTGTGTTACCCTGTCCGCGGTTTCCACAACCGAAGGGGCTGAGCTAACATCGCTTGCCTTGATGGCTCGAGAGACGCGCTCGGTGAGCTCGCTAACGGGCATGTTCAAGTGAATTCTGGGTTCGTCGTTCGTAACGGGGTCGGCACAGCCCTCATGTGGCATTCCACTGCTCCTTAACCTGCGTCCCGGCAGATGCCTGGGTCGTTCCGAAGACCAACCCGGGTGGCCCGTTGGCCTCCCCTTGATGGAGATTTTATGAGCATGGCTCGAGGTTAGGATCGAACGAGAAGGTTGAGATGACCCTATCTGCTACGGAGCAGACTGGGCGAGGGCCGCTCGGGGCTCATCTATGTTTCCCCCCTGGCTCTATTTGACGCGAGGCGGCCTCGAGCCCTTTGTGGGCCGGCCTTCGAACCCGGTCGGTCGTTTGCTCATGTTGAATGAGGCAACTGCCGCTTCGTGATGCAACACGGAGCGTTGTGATGCATTTAACTACATATGCGATGCTTCGGATGTTTGGGATGAATGAATGATTTGTATGAATGAATGCGTGTATGAATGTATGAATGACAGCAGATGATCATATAAAGAAATAGTGGGGGTTGGTAATGTTACCTTGATGACTCGAGTGACGAGGTTTGAGGAGTTTTTATCAGATATGTCCGATCGGGTCCCATGCTCGTCGTTCGTGATGGAGTTGGCGTGGCCCACATGGGGCGTCCCTCTGCTGTTTACCTGACTCTCGGTGTTTGCCTGAGCCGTGCGATAGACTTAGGAAGCCCGTTGGTCTCTCCTGGACAGAGATCGCGTCATTGGGCTCTTCCAAGGCTTGCCTGGGAAGACGGAGGGCCGCCTGTGCGTGGTGGCGCTTTGTTTGCCACGCCCGGCGTGCGGTAGTGGTGGGCC